ACAACAACAAATTCGTTTCGTGAATGTTCTTTATCATTATCATCAATTTCACGATTATTTAACAAATAGATGAAAAATCCTTTTGTTTAAACTTTTCAGACCGGAAAGAGATATCGAAAGGTTTCGTTATAAAAATTAAAATCTAAACGGGAAAGGTTTTTAAACTGAAGTGGAAACTTTGACATTTAAAACTGCTTTCTTTAAAAACGCACTGCTTTCTGTTGGTATCTCCCCCGAGTCTTCTGAAGTTCTCTTTTGCGTGTTGCACTCATCGTCGAGTCATCTATGCTCACCATCCCTTGGTTTCGCAACGGTGCGGGAAGTGCACGACAGCTGCCCGGCACGCGATGTAAATAAACGAGGCCTTAACATCTAAATCGGGATCTAGGCACGGATCACACACAGTCTCGTGTGCATGTCTTACATTAAACAACGAGAATAGATCTTTTCGTGTCGGTGAAGGATGAGAAAAAGGACTTTATTGCGTTTCTATTACGAAAAGATTTTCGCATATTTTATTAAACCAGAATCTTTATTACCTACCACTTCGTTCGCAGGTGACCACCGTCGCTCTTGCCTGTTCTCACAGTAGCGAGCAGATTGCTTCCGTCAGGAAACGATAAGAGAAAGAGACGAGATCAAAAGATGTGGAATGTTTTTCATTTGAGATTTAAATCTGTAATTTTCCCCACCTGCCGTGTCATTAGTAAACGCACTGCCCGCAGCAGCGCTAGTGAAGCGTCGTGTGCACATCAAAAACTGCCCCCCCCTCCTACCTAATCCTCCCGTCACGTGCCAAATCCTGTACTTTTGTCAGTCAATAACATGTTCTACATTTACTTGAATTTTTAACAACCTTTTTTATTTACTTTAGTATATTTTACTCGCAATCTGTTTCATCGTAAAATAGTCAAATATGTTGACATATTTTTAATGACTTGGGAAGGCGCTGTACACTCTCAGTCCATCCTGGACTTTTAATTAGTTACAAAAAACACGTACATAACTTGTATATCTTAGTGTAGGGTACACGAGGGCACAATTGAATTCTCATCATATTTTTTACTTCCAATAATTGAAGTAGAAAATTAAGTTCATTATACAGTCATGATAAATGAACTTCCCTGAACTCCTGCAGTTTTACTTCAATTTGAGTCTTTACTTTTTGTGATGAGAAACACAAACTAACGTAATTCTGTTCAAAATTGTTCTAGCAGAATACATATGAACACAATTTTTCATGAACGCAAACTGGTGTAACAAACAAGGTTATACATACATTGTATTTCGTTTCCAACAACATAACTTTCCGTGAAAATTTGTAGTAAAGACTGAAGTATATCATTCTTGCGTTCTGCTGAGACGTTTCTTTGCGAATGAGATTATTTTACAAGATAAAATTTTAATTTCACATTATTTGTAATCTTTTTCCGGAAACAAATTTCCACATGTTCTTTAATCTATGCATAATACTGCTTCTAAAGAGTTACCGCAGTTCTAACGATGACGAGTGACGATCTACGAAAGGACACCCTTCATTGTCTGTCCTAGATCGCAAAATAGTCGACATCCAAATCCGTACAGTCAACGTCGCTATTTTTTTCTAATAATAAGTAAGTTAATCAAAATAAGTAAGTTAACATTGGCGAAAAATGCTTCAGCAGTGAACAGATTATTGTTATGAAAAATATAAGAAAAATACCAAGTAATTTGTGACACCAAGTAATTAGTAATACCAAGTAATTTTTATGCAGCCAATATCTGAAAATCTTAGAAACCGAAGTATTCTTCACCTAAAATATAAATTAGAAACATGAATTAACATTTAAAATTACTCAAGAAGTAAATTGTGGAATTAAAAGATTGTATGAAAAGGATAATACTCATTCCTAAAATGGAGTTTTCCTGGTAATTGAGTATAATGTATATTTAAAAGCATTTACATGAATATTTTACTACTGAATTACGAAGTTTGCAGCATTTAAGTGTAAATAATAATATATGTTCGAAGCATCTTAAATACTCAATTCGTATCCACAGCGCACCGCAAGTGGAAGCGCCTCAAATTGATTTCTGAAAAAAAACTCGAAGTTGGGTTTCCAGTAGAACTTTATATTGCATATTAACTTGATTTGCGACTTTGCGACAAGACGCGCAAAGATTTTGAATATGTAGTTTAACTCGATATACGAGTGATGCTTCGCAAAACGAGAACTGATTAGCCTCCCCTTGGCAAAAGTGGCAATCTATGCAAAATTTTGTAGAAAAACAGCACCCGAACACGGCTGTAGCAGTGGGAACAATGGATATTTTCAATGACAATGTAATGCAACATTTCCGTGATGTCCACAAAAGAAGACTAGCCCAAGTCTTTGGATGGATTTTTAGTTAAAGTGGCACAAAACGATGCCAGTGAGCCAATGGGTGGACAGTGCTGCTATACAATAATCACTTCTTTTCATCAATATTTTATCGTCTCCCTCAATGGAAAGTTCAGCTACGAATTTTTACAATATAAGGCCCACAACATTTTGTACAAATCAGTCTCTACGAATCAATAGTTTTGTATTGTGAACAAATCCTCTGCATTTCAACTGTTTCTTACGTGAAAATTCGCTTCGATACACGAGAGTTTTGGATTACGAGCACGTTACTATGTAGAACTCACGTGTAGTTACTATGCTTGGATTACGCTCAGAATGCAGTGTTCTACTACATTTCACCGCACACTGGGACCAAAGCGGTGCGAACCGCGAGTCAGGACAACCTCGTGTTTCAGCACTAATGGGTTACACGTCATGCGTTGCACAGGGTCAGTGTCGTCGAAGGCCCAAGTCTTGTCGCAAACTTGGAACGTGAAGCAAAGCAACAACCGTGTCCTAAAAGTTTTACTTCGGAAGACATTTCATTACCGACTTCACGTTGGTACTAGTATACGTGACAAGAGGCAAAATTTGTTCTTTGTAGTTCTTATGTTAACATTTAATTACTTATATAACTGTCGAAAAGAAGAGAAAGTTAGGGTAAGTTAGCGTTAGCGGCGGCGATGGTGTAACGGTTAGCGGGGTTAGCGTATCGGACTGTTATACCAAAGTTGGCGGATTCAAACCCGATCGAAGCCGTGGATTTTTAAGGGCGAAGAAATCCTTCGTACAACTTCCTTCGGAGGGGAAGTGCGAGTAAAGCCGGCTGTCCCATGTTAGTAGTTTTAGATGTAAAAGATCAAGCCGAAATGACGCCTCTGAGTTAAATGCAAATTGCCTGATTCGTCGCCCAAAAATACCTCCATTCTCCGCTATTTGGTGAAACGAGCGTAGCGAAATTTGCGTGGTCAGACGGAAGAGCGCCACGTACAATAAAGCATCAATTCAATTGAAAGTTAAAGATAAGATTGTCAAAGGTTTGGGCATATTTTCGAGGCATCATGAGGGAGGCTAGTCATCACACTACCTTTATTCTTTCAGACTAAAGCAATGGTAAAGCAGCCTTGCGATTACCTGCTCAGGAGCGGCACGGGGACAGAGTATGAAGGCTCAAGAAATAGTAAACGTTACTTAGAGAACATCAGTTTAAACATGAAATCTTACAAAAAAATATGCAGTTAAATACATTTAAAAATGGTAAGAAAATGATATTTTTATACTTTAAAATGTAATTCGTATGCAATAATATGATAAGACTTTCCTCACAAACATGCAATGAAAATCAATTTGGCTGAAATGTAGTATACGATACAATCTAAGGAAGTAGTTTAAACCGGCACTTCGCGCCATTCCAGCGTTAACTAGACAGTTTGAATTCTGGAGGCTTTCTTGAAAAGTGATGTCTTATAAAAGTGAATTGGTAATTATGCGTTGTATAGACTCGAGGATGTTTATTGTGAACGCGAGGGCCGAAGGCCCGAGCCTCGCCGTGACTAGGATCCGGGCGAGCGAAGCGAGAAAACTTGCCTTTGAAAGTAAATTGGCGTTACAATGCGGCGGGGACAAAGCTTATGAAAGGCGAACCATGAAAATCGCATATCCCTAAATTTTATTCATTTCTATTAGAGCACGAACAGTAATTACGGCTTAAGCCCCGCCGCCACGCTTCTCTAAGGGTGTACCGTATACTAAATTTTAACCATCAATTTTAAGTAATAAAAATACTAGAAAGAAATTAATCAAATCAAAATAAATCACTGTTAAAAATAACGTATTTTGTAATAAGCATGCACATCACACCCTGACACGAGTACGATTTTGAGGGGGAAAGAACAGCATAACGTGGAACAACTAACAGTTATTTACGCACCAAGGACGTTACAAGTACTTAATGCACTTGGGAAAAATTAATGATACTGTAACCAAATGAACCTGACCCGCGTTCGGCATGCCACTTCGCAACGTAATTAAACTTTTTTTTTAATTTATCAACTATCTTTAACTCAATTTATTTTATCATTTCCCAAGCTGGGTACCATTTGTAGCTTGTTTATGATTTTTTTAACTTACTTTCCCCTGGTATGCTAGTAATTTGATTGCTCTAATAATTCACAATTCGGTTAGCTCTTTTTCTATTAAGATCTTACATTAGTTACACGTACAACATATGTGCTGCACGAGTATATACAAAAAAACATTCCTGGAACGTCTGTGAAATTTACTACCTATTGAATTGATGGCAATTCAATGAAATATCGGTATTTTCTTTTCAAACAACAAATAACATTTATTGAAACATTCTAATTACATGTCTCGAGCTCGTTGAGAGTGAGAGTAAGAATTCGTGTGTTTTTGCTAAAGCTGAATTTTCAACGTTCTCCCCTAATCAATTACATGATAATAACACCAGGCGGTACCGTTCCTCGACAATACGATTCTAATCTAGCATCCAGCATGGCGCACCTAAATGTTTATGGTTCGTTGCTATGCTATGCGTATTCCTTGGATTTTAACATTCCGGATGCATCAGTCGTCTTATCACTCCAAAGTGACATTCTAGTATATCACAATACATACCTATTCTGCGCATAAATCTTGCAGACGCCCCAATTAACTACAAAGACGTCGATGATATCTCGTCGCCATCTTAACATTTCATTCCGTCGCGCACAGATTCTTCTAGTATCACAGAATCACGTTCTATTACATCTTTTGTCGCATAACGCGTAAAAATTGTTATTTGCACTACCACAGCACTCCCAAACGCACTTTCGGTAACACAAGTGGAATATTTCACCAGCTTCGCAGCAAATGCCACCACAAGGTACTACGCTTCAAATTTTCTGTAGCGGGAGAACGTGGTTTGGTACGTCGTGAACTCTTCCGTTAACGAGAGACGACTGGAAACCCCTGCCACTTCCACATTTCCCCTCATCCCCCACCACGACCACTTTCTTCCCTAACTCGAATAGCGCAAACCGCCGCTTAGAACTTCTTGCCCAGGACTCCTCCAATCGCAAATTCTGTCGTGCCGAGTAAGTACCTACACAAAACCAAATTTACTACACATAATACTGGAGAAAGACGTATTAAGTGTCGTAATTTCCCTGGGTAATGTTAACAAAAACTGGATATTAACATTGTTGGTAAAACTTTTAATATACTCTAAAAATTCAATAACTCAAAATTGTTGTTTCCTGATAAATTTACATTAATTGACAAATTAAGGTGCAGTGTTTTTTTAATGTACTAGATTATAGTTACTGCAGTAGTGCAATAAAAATATCTAAATTTCATATATTTTATTGCAATTGTAAATTAGCATGTTTACATTTCATTAAATAAAACAAAGAAAAATGTTTTTAAACTTACTAAAACCATAAAATTTTACAAACGAAATGTATTTGATGTATTAGAATTTCATGCAATATTCCTGTTTTACAATCATAAAACTTTGAATATAGATAACGAAATTTTATATGAATATGTTATTCTACAACAAAATTACCAATTCCTCAAAAATAGACATTACAATGTTCTTGGTTTTTAATCATAATTTACTATATCTCTCATTTTTGCTGACGTTCCAACTGTCTACAGAATATCTTAAAATTTGTGGGATCATAGTGCGATAAACTTCATAAAAACCGTAAATGAACTAAGTTACGTAATTAAGATTTTTAATCCTACAAACAAAGAATGAAACTCTGAACTTATAACTATACCTCGGTGATTAAATATTACGTTCAGACATTCTTTAAACGCCTGTGTGAGTGTGTTCCAACGAGTATAGAAACTGAAAGAAAACTTTGCACCCTACGGACTTTGGAGAGACGTCCATGGTTAAATCCACTTCCTATATTATCAAACCTCCAAAGGAATGTACATAAAACAGAATTAAACACTAAATTAAGTTCATTATGATATACATTCAGAATCTTTCAAATTCTGTCAGCCTTCATGCAGCTCGTAGCGTGTATTTTGCAAATGCGGCATTCCCGTCTGAGATATGGCATACTATTCTGGGGAAGTTCATCATGTAATACTCCGACCTATAGATCGCAAAAGAAAATTTTTCGAATAATGAAAAAATGACATCCACGTGATTCCTGCAAGCCTCTCTTCATTGAGTTTAGAATCTTACCATTGTCTTGTCTATTTATATAATAATCTGTAATATTTGTCAAAACTGACTTAACATTTTCATGCAATACTGATATTTATAATTACAACACACGTCGTAGAAATCATGTTCATCAAGTGTCAGTATCAACAGCTCACTATCAGAAATCCACAAACAATACATATACTTTACTTTACAACGCACTGCCAGATGACATTAAACAATTGAAGTCGGTACACAAATTTAAGTTAAAAGTAAAATCCTTTCTGCTGCCTGTTGCTATACAATTAGAGACTATTCTGATCATCAAAAAGAAATATAATGTTTATTTTCACAAAATAATGATATACAATGAACTAATTTACATTTGTACTTGTTACGGTCTCTACAAAAGGCAACCTTTCTTCCCAAATCGAAAGAAAATTATCGGGTGTAGATGGTCTCCCACTAATGTACCCTGAAACACCGGCAAAGACACTGGTTTTCGTTATCGGCGACCGCCGTCCCCCCCCCCCCTCCCGTTTGCTGGCGAGACTGCGCTCACGACGGGCAACAGCTCCGAAGTCATTTCTCCGCCAGTTGGCAAACGCTGCCCTCGACGATCAAATATTTTGATCAAAAGCCAGAGGCAATCGCTTGAATAAGGTGTGATTGACCGCCTAGGAACCCACTTGACGCATGAGCCTAGCGTCGGCGGAGATTGGTAAAATTTTGAATGCCTCACGCGGTTGACGAGGGTGCCCATGCTGAACCGTGTAGGCCAATTTTGATCAAGCATTTCGTCAGTCACTCGCCAGCCTGAAGATACGCCGCTTCCACGAAAGGTGGAAACTGAAAATTTTAAAAATTTTCGCGTAATGCTTCTGAAAGTTCGGAACGCGAGTTAATCATCCTATTAAAATTATATAGGGATTTCCCTGAGCTGTGAAAAGTAAAAAACAAAGACTACATTAAAAAAATAATAAAAGTGCGGCATTTGAAACTAGTGGTGGTAGAGAATGGCACAGACTTTCTCGTATAGAGAAAATCTGTGCCCTTCTGTACATTTGCGTAAGTACGAGTGTCGTACAAGTATTTTTCACAATGCTTGTTTTCAAGCATGATAAAGTGAAACTAGAGCACCGCTGCAAGATACGATGGCTGGAAAGCGCTTTTCTCCCACTTCCAACAGAAGCCCAAAAGGTAAGTTGTGTAGCGCGCTAAAGCGCCTAAACAGTTTTTTAGAAAATTAAAGTTAATAAAACGTTTTTTAAGACATTTTATCGACTAATTTTGTAAATAACAATTGTTTTGATAAAACGCATTGTTTTGATGATTAAAACGGAAAAAAATAGGGTGATTTTTTTTGCAATTTTCTCTGTGAAGCCCATGTTTTTTGAGGTGACAAAAATCAAATTCGAATTCAACACCCTCAACACATACAGAACCGATAAGGAAAAAAAACTTTCGGGTTTTTTTCCTGGGTCAGATACTAGACTAATTGGGCCGTACCAACTTCACCAAAAAATCACAACTCGGTTGGTCCATTGCAATGAAGTTCCTGCAGTCTTTTGGTTCCTGTCGCGTGGAACGTTGAGTTCATGCCGGTGAGGCGCCCAGGAGCTGACGAGATCTCTCGGGAATTTTGAAAGCTGTTCAAAAGTTCGTGTCAGAGAGTTTGAATCCCCTTTCTCTTTGAAAGTTGGCCGACGGTTTTTGAAGGAAAATTATTCCATCTCCAGAGCGGTATGCTTGAATTGTAAGCTCTTTGCTCTTAATTTGCCCCAAGGAAGTTATAAATGGCTTATATGGCCGCCTATGTGCCAACAGTTCACGATTTGATTTATTAGACAAAAAGCAGTAAAAACTGTATGTGACATGTTGGGGAGAAGTAATATCTGTGCACGTTGTCTTGAGCTCCAGAAATGAAACGGTTTCTCATTGTATACCACTTCTTACACCAACGTCGTTTCCTCTTAAGACTTCGGAAGACTCATGCCGTTAGTAGTCGCCTGTGGATGCCTGGCATCTCCTCTCTTTTCTTTTTGGCTTTACTATCAATTAGTTTTGCGATTTATTCTTCGTGGTATTCAGTTTCCTTAAGTAATTTTTAAAATTAAAATTTAGAAATGAATTTTAATTGTTTCAAATGCAAACGAATCTGGTCGCGGGTGGGGTTTGCAGGAATGCATTCTATTTAAACATATTAACGCGTACGAGATTTTTTTTTCTTTTCTTGGAGGTAAATTACTGAAAGCTCTAGAAGAGTAGCACAATACTATATAGCATTTGCATATAGCATACTATATAGCATTTGGCAGTTGTCGCAAATGGCCTGGGGACGCTTACAGTCCCCGCGCGACTATTTAAGGGTTATTTTTCCCCTCTTGAGGACGACCAATGCCAAGGCAAGAAAGACCAAATCTGCATTCGACATCGCACGATCAAAGTCTCTATTCGACATCTCACTACACACTGTCGTTCCGAGATGTAAACTAAACTAAGAATGAGTTTGATCCAAAGATTGAATTAGAAACGTAGCTTGCTCGACTAGGGCCTTCTTTAGATACCCCAAAACTCGGAGAAAATCCAAAAACCAATGAAACAGTTTGGATTTTGATCGAAAAATTCAAGTATTTGATAATAATTGTCCGCCTATTCTCACACTGAGCATACCGACCAAATTCTCCTACTCAGTGCGTAGCATTTTACGACACAACTGGCGCGATGCGGTAGCAAGACTAAGGGAGAGCTCGCGCGTAATTAAATATTTTCTATTTATGCGATGCGTTACGGAGCAACAAATGTTTTGATAATAGTTTGTAAAGAACTGTTCTGAGTACCCATAAGTGCGCGCGTTCGCGCCATCTGCAGATATTGTTGTGTCTTTTCCGATAGACGTGTGTAAGCTCACTATATTTTATTGACACGTTATAACAAACGATACGGAGATCGGTATACACTGCTTAACTTACCTGGTTCGCGAGGACCGTGGTTACGAGGGAAATGTGAAAACAGTTGAAATGTTGCTCCTTGTTCTCTGACAGAGGGAATTATGAGAGGCAAAATATGAAAAATCAAAAAAATTAACACCTAGGTAATAAGTAAATCTGAATCAATGAAATTAGGTAAAAAACAATTATGTACGTATCACGGGCGTTAACTGGTTTTAATGATGTCGGGCGACAAAATGCCCTGGGGCATTTTGTCGCCGATCCATCACTGAAACCCTTATAACGCCTTGGGACATAAATAACTAATCTCGTCTTACTAAATAAGTGGTACAGAGAAAGTACTATAATCGTGCAATGGAAATCGGCAATTTTTCGACAGAAAAAACACTTATTGACGGTCCCTATAAAAGAAAGTAGGTAACGAAAAAGTTCATAAATCTTGTTCCTACAGAGATAGTAAACTACTTCCTCCTTCATAAACGTTGCGTAGACAGAATTGATGTTTTGTGGTTCTTCGGTACCGAAAATCGATTGGCGGGAAAACGTCCGCCTGTGGTCAAGGCTAAGCCGTTCAGACAATTTTCTCCAAATTGATGTATCCCGATCGATCTAAATGAACTCCAGGCCCAGCGAGTTTGAAAATGATGTTTTTATTTTTGGAGGTACTTTACATGAAGCATCAACAATTTTAAAATTGTCTCAAATATATCATCAAATTGTTGGATTAAACTTTGTCCCCAGCGTAAATGATGCTTAAAATAATGGTCTCATTTTCGTTGATATCTCTATTTTTTTTAATTGTAAATGTTCCAAGCAATACAATATTAAAGATTTTTTTGTTAATAAAATTCGCTGTCCGAACACAATCTTAAAATAAGGTCATGTACAATCAGGGAAACCGAACTGCAGGGATGTCAGAAGTATTTTTCTTTACGGGGTAGGGGTTCAGTTCATTAATATAAGACTTTAAATAAGACAAACAATTATACACAATTTATAAATTATATCACAATTAAGAAAAAAAGTATGTAAAAATAATAAATAATTGATATATTTATTACCAGTAGAGCACTGGTGAAGAGAGAGTAATTGGGCTTCCATCTCCCCCTCCCCTGCAAGGCTGATGACAAATATTCATTATTCTGTTGTTGTTTTTTTCTACACATTACAAAAAAATTTCATTAATACTGAAAATTACACAATATCTCACTTGTATACTGTATAAATTACCACATAAAAATTACTTTTAAGTCCAGCGTAAATGTAAAATGATTTTTTATAAAAAAAACCACCACCACTTGGACACTACACCAATAGCTCCGATATAAATAATTATAAACGTTGTCTTTGCAAACAATAGTATTTACTATACGAGCAGCTTTCGATGGCTTAGCCATCATCATCAGTTGTCTGCTCAATGGAAGCCACAAAAACGACTACCGACTTAGTAGTCGTTTTTGTGGCTTCCATTCAGCAGACAACTGATGATGACTAAGCCATCGACAGCTGCTCTTATAGTAAATACTATTGTTACAATGACAACGTTTATAATTATTTCATGAAAAATGCCAACAATAACGCACCACAACACCTATATAGCTCCAATATATTTTATAATTCTATGCTTGTTTGTAAATGGTGCAGTGCAGCAAGTGCTGAAAGGTACAGACTATCCAACCCCTCTGACACATACGCCCAACGTCCCCACTGAGTTGGCCAGAGCCACTGCCTCGCTTCACATTTATTTACATCAATTCTAAGCCAGTAACGGTAACAAAAATTCTAGAAAAGGCTATGCAGATTTTGTACACCTAATCAATTAAGTTATACTGTTTGCGTTATTATAACTACAGTTCACAAGGAAAGTCTCTCTGTAGTGAGCTGAATCAGGGATTCCTATTAATACTTGCATTTATATTAGTAGCAACTACAAATCTGGGAAGCAAGGGAAGGGGACAACACTTCCAACATCTATTATGATTGTGGTGAGTCCACAGTTTACGTTTTCATGCTGCAAGTCATGCTACCAACATAATTTCTTTGGCAAGCACTCTCACCAGCAAGGTGCCCCTGTGGAGAGACTTTCTTGATGCACTTTGTTTTGTTTTACAGGTACAATGTACTAGATATAAACTGTTACTGTTAAAGTTAGCAAAAAGCCTCTAGTTATACTGGCAGGAAGAAAGAGAAGAAAGAAAAAGCAGACATATAAATTACCTTTCTACAAGTTAGTAATTTAATTATTTTACTACTGTAAGGTAATTTACAGATCAAATAACAGATATTTTTAAGATCTTTATTTTTTCACGGAGTCTGTTTCATTAGTTATATAAAGGCCTGTAAATTGTACATACTTTTTTACCTGAGAATATTTCACAGAACTGTAATTTTGAGCATGTCATGTTACAGCATTACAGAATACAATATTTCTTTCACACACTTTATCGACACATTCATTAGCAGTGTTATTACATCACCACCAGAATAATTTAGTGAACATATTAGTAGATATGGGTTAGAAGTGGAAGAATTTATCTACTCTAATAAGATGATAACAAACCAGAAAGAAACATCATAAAACATGCTGGAAGCGAGAGTACTGGCTTTTCAAAACAACATTGGTCATGCCATAAAAATATTTTTGAAGATTTGTATTTTTTTTTAATTCTAATTTTCCTTCCAATGACAGTTTGTACAGTTGCTAGAGCAACACTTCTGAGCAAATGATCTCGCAAATATATTTAAAGCCTCTTTTGAAAATTTAAGTTATTAAGATAACCCTGAGGAGAAATACTTGCATGGTCCACAATCAAAAAATTGATGTCTTTCACTGAAATGAAAGAACTACATTTCTAGACTTTTCTCTAATTCTTCCAGATAAACTTTTAGTAATATTGTCATCAATGTATAAATGTGCATAAGAAACCCTTTTACCAACTACTTCAGACAAGTAAACATTTTGACAAGTTTTCGATAAACTTGAGATTCTTATGTTGTAACATTGTACCTTCTCATTAATTTCCAGAGCATTAAGTAGCTTATTCTCTTAAATATGATACTTGCAAGGTATCACAACATAAGAAAAACATTCATCAAAGAATATAAAAAAATAATTTTCTTATAATTATTTATAAAATCACACCCAAGCAGCAACTAACATTTTACCTCTAATATTCAGAAGTTAATGTAATTTAGAGCAAGAATCATCTAACTAAAGTAAATCAGGAAATATGGTACTATTACATTCTACCACTAAACTTTATACACAAATTAAAGAAATGTATACATCTGCTCTATAAAATGTTTTTTGTTCAAGTATTAAAAGGTTCAATTAAAGTTCCTAAAAATGACTGACTAGAAAATTGCAAACCTCATTCCTGATACTAATTTGTCCAAATCAATAATGTACAGTTTTCAAATACTCCAGATGTCTCTAAATAAAATAAAAGCATAGGATAACTTATTGATTTTTGGAGAGAGAAAACCCAGGGTTCTCTAATTCAGTCAAGTCAATCAAACATACCACTGTCTGAGAGATGTTTGGAATGTACCTGGCAAAATACCAAAATAACCTATAACCTTCAATATGAATGCCAAATGTTTGGAATGTATTGTTCATTTTTAAAAATAAAACTTGGCTTTTTTTAAGTATCTTCATCTGCCAGAGTAGAACTTGTTTGTTTGAATTGTTTGTGACTGATAAGTTTGAAATGTGTCAATAGACACTCCGCATATCTTGACAGAGAAACTTCCAGTCATCTGTTAAATGAGTATATGCAAGTTTTGCTTAAAGAGGTCTTGCAATGAAAAAAGAAAATTTTGGAAACAAACTTTCTAATACATGTATGTTGGAGCCATAAAGACAAATCTAAAAAATACCTTTTCATTCTTGCATAATAAATGCCAAAACCTACAAACTAGTCTGTAGGGCCCTATTGAAGAGTAAATGTCAGTTATGTTTCTTAGCTAAAACAAGAATGGAAAGTATATTTTAAAAAGGAATTGAAATTATAAATTAGGTAAACAAAATTAGACAAAAACACTTCCCAATTAAGAAAAAAATACATTACTCTAATTGTTTTCCCAAAGGAGTAACTAGAAAAAACACCCGCTCAATGGGATGGAGCAAAAGGAATGGATACAAGTTTTGGAAAAAAAGGAGGGAGAAAGGAAAGGAGGGAGAAAATGCAGCCAGTCGAAATGAACAAAAAGATGGGGGAAATGATTAAAAACCTATAAACTAGGTTAAATACTACTTCCCTATCCAGGTTGAGAATTTTCAAAACCTAACAGACTAAGGTTAACAACCTTCAAAGAGGGGAAAAAGTTAAGATGAAAAATGATACCATAGGCAATTGTGATACTCTTGGAGTGAGATAAGAACACAGGTAAACAGGTAACAAACACCCTTCCTTCACTCCCCTTGCATATTCTCAATACTACCATTGAAACCTTGGGTTTCCTACCTCAAAGTTATCAGTGGTATGGCCAGTCTCCTACTTAACTTGTATGAGTTTTGAGACATTCTCTACATTCTCAAACTGCCTTCAACAATACAGGAACAAATACCTATATAATAGAAAAGTTGGAGCTACGGGAGAACTATAAGGAATAAAGTATAAAAAGCAAGTGCTGCATCTCACTGCCAGAGGACATTTCTTTACCTTTCTTACAGTATCTAATATACATATTCATCCACCAGATCTGATAAAAAGATAATTCTCTTGCACAGTCACAGAAGCTTTCAAATAAAATGCCCGTCTCCCACAAAACAGCAATCTCTTAATTCCAAACAACAATAAAACACTCTCATTATCTTGGCAGTGCTTAAGATAAAAACACGAGCTGATATAAAACTGGAACACGATTGGTAACAATACATTTTCTGCAACTGGCTGAAAGTTCAGCAAACATTAGCCTATGATTCTCTCATTTTTGACTTCTATGATAATATGGCAATACTAGGCACAACACTAACATAGGAACTGGTGTTTGTCACTTTAGTTGGCCCTTTAGGAAGACTATGTAAAACTTGAGAGCAATCTAGTCACTACCGGCTTCCATGATCACTGCTGTTTACAGCCAATTCTTCCAGCTGCAACAAAATTTTGATTAACAGACTTCTAATGCAATAAAATTTAAATGAAATTCTCAATTATAATTGTATAATTTTAATTTAATTCTCCTAGGAATGAATCCTGAAATTAAATTTTCCATAATTATAATATGATATTGCATCCACAACAATCTAAATTATTAAGATTAAGTTTTAAAATGGTTGTCACAATATAATTCTATTTACTTGTTGTTTAGTCCCTTATTTTAAATTACGGACAACCACAATGATAAGTGCCAAACATTTTTTCACATAATAATTTTATTCACTTGTGTTATGACATTTCGGAAACAAAACAGTGTCCCTCATCAGGTACAGCTGAAAATTTAATTATTAAATTTTTTCTTCATTTTGACTTCATGAAAAAATGTTATAATTAAAATTTCAGTTGTACCTCATGAGGGAGACAAAACAGTCTCTGAAAACATCATAACACAAGTGAATAAAATTATAATGTGAAAAAATGTTTGGCACTTATCGTTGTGGTTCTCCATAATTTAAAATAAGGGACTAAACAACAAGTTAATAAAACAATCTAAATTGTAGACAAAAATTGAAAAAAACAAGTTTGAAAAATTTTTTTAAAAAAATTAAAATATATGCAAAGTAATATGACCCTTGTCCCTTTCCTTTCCAATCAGTTTTGTTCTTTTTAATCTGATAGAGGTTTACATTCAATTTCTTTAGAACCCAAATTCTCTGGAATATGTTGTCAGGAGCACTAACATTCTCAGACTTGTGGCACTCGAACAGGTAGCACCTTGCAAATTGTTCAAACTCTGATAACTAAGGTTTAGAAGTTAATGCAGTATCAAAAGGAGAAATATGCAAACAAATCTGCTCTGACATTTACAAATTAATGAAATATGCTCAAACAATTAACAGTTTTAGGTGTTCATGAACAAATTTAAAAAAATGTATTTCAACAATTAATTTTGAATTTTTGTTTCCATTTAGTATTCCAGTGATAATTTTTGAAGTAAAATATAATGATTTTGGCTGTATCATCATCTAAGTATCAATTCCAATGTCACAAATTCTTTATCAAAGATAAATTATCACATAATTCATAATCAGACAAATTGTCTCCTGGTATCAATGCCATGATATCATCTAAAAGATGTTCAGGCAAAAAATACACTGCTGCAACAAGCAAAAGACATTCCTATGATTCCTCATAAATAGAATTCACACTTGCATTTGTGAAGTACACTTTTAGGTTTGAGGAGACAAATATGCATATTAATTGAAATTCCAAGAGAAATATGTCACATAAAAACAAAAAGCAATAAAATATGAATAATAACTAAAATATAACGGAAATATGATACATTAACACAAAATGCACCAAATGCGCACTAATATGCTATTTAAAATCACAGAATTTCTTTAGATTGTGTTCTGGGGACTTTCGATAATCAGCATGTTATAAATCTCGTAAATAAAAATATGATTTTTCATAAACTTCCGAGCCTTACAGATAACTTATTTCCAGGCCTTTTGTTCTCTCATGATTCACAAGAAAATGAATAATTGGATTGGATTGCTTCAAGTTTTATGTAACTTTAATTTGGAGCAAGCTTCAAGAAGCAAACAATACACAAAAACTGAAAGACTACATGTTCAGATAGAATAAATAGCTTTTCAACCCCATCTTCAACTCAACATTAACAACTCTGATTTTGCTTTAAAAAAATCAATACGAAGAAGTTTTCTCATTTTAGGAGAACTCGTATATAAACAAGAGATATTTCTTCTTGAAAACAATTTGGAAAAAAAAAAAAAAAAAAAAACAGAACGGCCCACTTTGAAACTAAGAAGAAATGTTTTTCCTGTGAATCCTTTTCAACAATTTCAAAAGATATAGAATATTTTATCTACACTACAAACAAAATATCCATTGAATTAAGTTAAACACCAAGTTTTAACTAAAAATTTAAAAAATTATATCAGATTTCTTTTTGTTTTAATTACCACATACCTCTTTCTCTTCATCTACGGAGTCCTCTTCATCATCACTTCCGTGGACTGAAGCTGCTGGAGTAGTGGGGCGAGAGGAGGAGGGAGAAGGGGGTTCAGACAGAGGTCGTGGATAATTGAGCTTCGAAATATAACGCTCTTCCTCAAGAGCAGCCATCTCAGGATATACTTTGTGGAGAGCTTTTGTCCTTGCATGGCGGTAATACTGAAAATAATAAAAGCATTTTCAGAGGCAGCTTTCTACTTTTTATTTGCAACGATAAAAATAATAGTCTTTAGCAAATGGTTAAGAAAAAAATTGCAAAATAGGAAGAAAATATATTTGGAGAACGAATAAATTCAATAACCGGCTGTGCACTCAAAAATCACCACTTTCATACAAATGAATAAAATGTATATTAAAAAAAAATAATAATAATCAGAGGTGGCATATTTGTGATTTATTATTTATTACTGGAGACTGAAAGTTTGGCAAAATGCATTAACACTATTGTTATGATTTTCAGACTTCAAATAAAATAAATCACGTAACTGCTTCTGGCAATATATTAGGGGATTCTTATTTTGCCTCTCCCCCGACTTTACCATTCTATGCTTATTTTAAGTATTTTGACATTTTTCTTCCTTTTTCATCAATACTTTCTTTTTTCTCCTGGAAAGACAATCAAACAGAAAACCTATTTGCAAGTCTCAGACTCATTCACATTTTATCTTTCTCTGCAATTGGAGGCACAAAATTAGGCAGAATTGTTGATCTCTAACTCTAGAGTAAAAAAACATCTCGCATTAAAGTAAGGCAGTAAAAGTCAAAATCCTTGGATTTCTTACATTGATGCAGACAGACATTCTTTGGCCGTAAAGATTCCCATTATGTGCTTTAATTCAAATACAAAGCTTTCTGCCATGATATACAAAACTGCACAGCTCAGAATTGGTGTTTACATAAGTTCAAATAACAAAAATACTTCACTGATACCATAAGAAGATTCAAATAAGAATAGTTGAGTGCACACAGGCACATTGTAGAGTTAGTATTGTAAATAAACGAATTTGTACTCGTGCTGAAATTTAGTGAGCCACTGCTATTATTTTTCAGTAGAATGAAAAGTGCATACTTTTTGATAATCGATTAAGTGTTCCATTGTAGAAAATTTAAAGAAATATCTTATAGATATGTGCAATCACAATTGCAAGGAAGATAAAGTTTTATATGAAGGTGTTAAAGTCAATATTTAAATAATTATAATTGACATGAAATTATTTTGACTACTTGTTCTTGAAGCACAAATGTCAAATTTTTCACATTTTTATGCACCCCCATTTTACTAAAAAATGATGCCTTTTTGCATGTCTATTTCAGTAAAGAAATGCCTGAACTTCGAGGTTCTATTTACTACTGAATTAATACTTGTTAATTATATTTTAAGCAAAATAATATTATAAAATAACTTTACTGACAGATGAAAAATGGTAATGTATAATATCATCCAGGATAGCCAAGAATGAATTGACTCCGGCCGCAGAAGCCTACAGACGTATTCAACTTACAATGCCCAAATTTCTCCAATCCAATAAATCACTCAGCCGCTCTGTTCGGTTACGTTGGATGATTCGTTGGCGACGATTGAGCCTTGAAAAATCATACATAAATTGAGCCAATTGTTGCACAGACCCTTCAAGAGAGATATATCTTCGGTCAACAATATAAATCCCATAGCTCATAGGGTCAGCTATATGCTCTTGCATAAAGCATCCAAAACCTGAAGAAATTTTTTTTTATTAATATTCCAAAAGGAGAAAAATCATCAATGGAAAACAAGAACACTTATGTACAAGCATATGGTTATGATATTATAAAAGAGCCAATCATATAATTCTATAATCAAAACAAACTGAGTATGAGGTTTAATAAAGAGTTTATCATAGATCAAATGTGGATTGCAATAACAAAGAAAATAGCTCACAAAATATGGAAGGCTTGAATTTTAGTTTGTGAACATAAATAAACTGACATTAACATGCAGATTTGATTATATTGCAAAATAAAGTTTTCAGTAATAACTTGGTTATTAATACCAAAGGCTATTATAAATTTAATTAAAAATGTATTATGGCATTGGCTTTAATTTATGATTTAAGTGTACCATGTCAAAATTTTAACATATTCTTGATGAAAACAAGCTTTAAAAAATGTATTTCAAGTAATTACATAACCCACCTGACAAATTAGTTGTGATGGATGGAATGCCCATCACAGTACATTCAGCAGGTGTATAGCCCCAGGGTTCATAATAACTTGGAAATACACCTAAATGACAACCTCGCACAAATTCTTCATAGTCCAGACCAAACAGAGGGTTGGTAGATGATAAGAATTCTGGATGGAATACAATCTAGACATGAAAAGCAGTATCCTATTAAAGATACAAGAATTTCTGAAAATCAGTATCATTCAATTAAAAATAACAATCAGAACTACTGCAGTAAAACATGATTAAGACCAAATATTTTGTCCAATATGTTTACATGTTTCTTCTTTTTACCTCAGTGATCAAGTGTTTTAGAAGATTTTCCCACCTCACACAACTAAAAGTTTAATGTACCCCCACACAGTGAATGGTTTAAATCATCATCATCAAGCCTTTTGAGAACCCCCCAGGATAAGCACACCATTGTTTTTCAACCAGTAAAAGATTTACTAAAGAACTTACATTATTTTTAATATAATTTTAACAATGAAACAAAATATTCAGAAAACCCATAATTTACATCATAAACACACAGGAAAAGTTTGAGAATGGAAGAGATTTAGTCCACTGTCTTAGATCAAAGAGAAAATGGGGATAAGATTTACCCGAAAGGCTTTAACACACAGTTCCGAACATCAAAAAGAAAGGAAAAACAAGTTATTTAAACCATTGCCAATCAACATGATTCTCTGCAATAATGTTGTAAATTTATAAACAAATTCTTGCCCACATTATAACCAATTATAGTTCTCAAAACCATTCCATTTTCACAGTAGGCATGTTTCTCTCGTAGAGATATTTTCATGTACCAAAATACTTTTTACCAGAAACATGCCCCCTGGCCTTTCATCTTGCAAGTCATGATGATGATGATGAAAATACCTTTGTGCTGAGATTTCTCATCCAGCATTGCATGTTTCCTTCTCTTAGTTATTTTTAAATGTACTTTGTTTCACAATATTACAAAACCAATTTCTTTTATTTTGATTTTTCTAATATGTTATGCAAAAGAAAAAAATATCTGATGTTTTGAAGTAACTAGAAACAATACCACATGATAATTGCAATTATACCAGTAAAAATTAGAGAGTTTGTGCACCTTTGAACATTAAAACACTATCGATCTATGCATGCGCAGATCAAGTTTCACATCACTTTAGTGCATCTGCACATGCACAGAAGATCAATAGTGCTGTTCGCTATAGCAACTCTATTAGCAACATCTAGTATAATGCCTTATCAATTGATGATTTTGTGATTTTAGGGATCAATCGCAATAGTTAATAGTCCCATAAGTGTTATGCTTGTTATGTTATATACTGGAAGGAGGTGATATTCCTCGCCCATTGGAAGATGCGGTTCAGTAATGACTTACATGTCCATTTGTGGGTCCCCAATCCCAGTTATCTCTGCCACTGAGGCACTACCTCAGCTGGGTCAGCCTCTAAGAACCCCACAAGGGTGGCTCTGTTGTGCATGTGTATGTGAGAGGAGTGGACGGAGCCCAAGACCTGTTTATTAAGGTTCTGCTCTTGCACTGGCTTGGTATATGATCAAAGAAACCATGTAAAACTCCTGACTGACTGGCAGCTAGAATTTCCCACCAAACAGCTCCTGATTTCAATCTAACTATCTAGCTATAGTGTCAAAAATATGCCATTATAAAATGTAAATTCTATGACTGAGAAGGTAACTGCAGTGGCAACCACTGTTGCCCTGAGCCATCACAGCCAGTTTAACACCTTACAAATCAATGAAACATTCAAATTTTATTGCAAAAATAAATTGCAGTTTTTGTGCTTACATCTATTCAGTCATACATTAACAGTTAATATTTAATATCTGGAAAGGCACACACCTTCACCCGATCATGACAGGTATTAAACAACTGACACCGCCGAACTCCATTCAGAACAGGATCATTCCAATCATCTACCACGTTATGAGTAGTGACAGGAGGAAGACCATCCCGCTGAAGGGCATAAATACATCGCTTTATTTTTACAGTATCCTCTTTGAGCAGAAGTTCTCCAGGTGCTGGTAATCGACCACTGCAAATACAATGAAATGAAAGCAATCGGAATAATTCAGCAGCTGGAATGAAGTCATTGCTCTCAAATGCTAAGCAATGCTGCATTGTATGCTGGCTATCCAGTATACAATACAGTAACTAGTTAGTATTGCACATGTTATAAACAGTAAAAACTAAGCCGGAATCGATCAGGACACAAAAATAAAAAAAATAAAAATGTTTTAGAGAAGTTTCCGTTTTATGAAAAGTTGTCCAAATTATGACACTTGTGATATTGACATTTTCATTTTGTGGAAGAAATCACCAATAAATAAATATTAAACATTCTTCATTGACAGCATCTGAGTTTCTCTTTCTTATATACATTTTATCTTAGCAGTTGTCATTACTAAATCACATGGGACAGAGAATTTAAAACAAACTTGCAGATGTATTCACTACATTAAGAATATCTCATGTCTCTGCCAATTGCAATAAATTCACAGAAACTCCGTTTTAAAAGGATTTTCCCTCCTAAAGGACACGAAAAACCATTCTGTTTCAACATTGGACAGTTTACATTTCATGCTGTGTAAAATACCAATTAACTTCATGGGCCAGAGAAATTTTCCAGTTAAAGCAAGTTTCCGGCTTGTACAGGTTTTGGTTTAGAAAGATTTTACTGTAATAATAAAACTTCACAAAGAATGTTTTTAAGAAAAAAGGTAATTCCAATCTCCAAAACAGTGTACATAATGTGCATAATTAAATATGTTTTGGTAAGTTCTCTCTCATTTATTTTATATTTTATACTTACTTCTTATATATTTTTTCACCTACACTTGATTTTTAAGTATATTCATTCTGTTTTGGTTGTAACTTATTTAAAAAAATATATTCAATTTTTCCAAAATTTTGTTCTTTATTTTTTATTTCTTGATGTAAACATGTCTTATTTTTATTTAATGTACATGCCTCATGACATGGGTATCCAACATGTGAAATGTCATGTATGAAAAATGAAGACTTTTATAAACATACTAACTAATTGCCAAAGAAATAAAAGGATATTTATGTTTCATTGTAAATATATAAATATCCATCACCTACAGAACTTAATCATAGGTCAACAAAGCTCAATTGCTGTCTTGAGCCGCCAAAGTTGCCGCCAAAGTTGCTTAATTTAATATGTTTCTGGCATGGGGGACAAAAACCACTTACTTGAGGCAAATTTCATACATGCGTTTTCCAATCTTCTGTTGAATTTCATTGATAGCTTCACGTAAACTCTTTGTTACAGCATGCCCTCTCAAACTTTCCACATTAAAGTTGTTAGTTTTTGCCGGAAAAATGAGAAATGCTACAACAGTTACATCTGGCATTGCTGACTGCAACATTAAGACAAAAATTAGAGCAAATTTTCTATCTAAGACAAAATTTAATAAAACTAAAAATTTAAAATGAACATCCACTTCTTAAACACAAAAATATTTCCTTACTTTCAGAAAGTGATTCAATCTTGCCAAAGCTTCTATAAATATATCAGCTCCTTTGTTGCCAAATTCATAACGACCAGCAATAAAAAAATAAAGTGTTTTATCAAGATCAAAATCATAATGTCTGAAAGAAACGTAATAAAATCACAGAACACTAGAATTTTTGAGAATGCACTTTATGTCATTTTACAAGAGCACAGCTACTGATAAAGAAAAGAAAAGTGATACATACCCATAAAAATGACCTCTTACAAACTCATGAATTTTGTCCTTTGAAATAGCATGAAGATTCTGAAACTCGTGCAAAGCTGAAAACTTTTTAACGTTGAGACCATTTGGAGTAATAACATCAGGTTTACGTTTAAGTAAATGTTCTGCTTCAAAACCAGTAATTTCAGAAACTGTGGTGAAAGTATGTGCCATGTGACTAGCAGCACGCTCCATACAATATCGATGGTAAATCTGACGCTTTCCAGCTTCTTCATCCACATTAAACTAAAATAATAATGGTTTGGTTAAGTTTTTTATTTTATCAGAATTCTCACAAAATAATAAACATAAAAATTGCCTTAAACATAAAACAATTTAAAGGGTGAAAGAAACATTAAAGTAAATTATATTTGACTTACATTTTCCATATTGTTGTAGAAATCTGTGTTTCCAGCACACAAGTATCGACCAAGTAAAGTGGCATGAGTAGTAAAAACTGTTGCTACATCCACATGACGTGTACGAAGGGCAATCAGCCCCACACCTGCCTGCCATTCATGAAAGTGAGTTACAATACGTGGTGGAGTATCCAGGCATTCTTCAGCAGCTTTGCGAAACTGAAATCATAGAATCAAAGATTGTAGACAATTAGCTCTAAAAAAAAAACCTATCACATGTTTGAAAATGTCAATGTCAACAAAACAAATAAGTGACTAAAGGTTAGGTTAGGTTATGTAACTATGACTCCAAAGACTAGTCCCAAGAAGAAAATCAGCTTAGTAGTTAATACACCTCAAATAAAATAATTTGATCATTTTCAATGTTATTTATTTTAATGTCATTTGCATTATCAACATTAAGAAACAATCATGAACTTAATTCAACATAAATTGCAAAAACCTTTTAGAGTACCACTTACTTCACCAATAAATTGAGCAACTAAGTATCCTAAGATCACAGCATCATTTGCTTCTACATCTAGGTGAGGTATTCCAATATTTGTCTTGTCCCAAAGTTCCTGTTTGTATTCATCTAATTTCCATGCTCCTGATCCTATGTCAAAAAGGATAACTTGAGGATTTCCATCAACAAGCCATGTTCCAGTATGAAGCTGTCAAAAAAAGGAACAAAAATAAAATAGGTGCACATCAAATTACATTCACTACAAATATTACCAATTAAAAATTATTCTTAATTTGTTTCAATTACAGAAATTTCACCCGTATGTGCTGAAAAATAAAAAATATTCCAACTACACTGTGCAATTTTTTTTTTTTAACCAACAACAATAAAACATTTATTTTTCCTCAGAAAGTGTAGGGAAAACATTAACATCATCGGTGTCATCGTCATTGTCATCGTCGTCATCGTCATTGAAGTCATAAACTCTTCAGGAAGAGGCCTAGTGCAGTGACCTGTTCTTTTGAATCCAATACTCCTTTAGTCACTGCTGAGGTGTTCCTGGTTCTCTCATCTTTTTCTTGGTCTGCCTGATTCTCTTCTTCCTCTTGATTTATCTTGTTTCATTCTTCTTGCATGTTCTTACCTCTTTCTTAGTGTCTTTCTATTTTATTATCTATGTTATTTTTCAGACTTTTACACATGTCCTCATTTCCAAAGCATTAGAGTACTTATTAATGACCTTAAGTCCCATTAAGTTTACTTGAGAAAACTTTCTAAGTAAATGGCGAGTGGTGAGACTAAATGATCTTAAACAAACACTTCTTCTGAAAACTAAGAAATTGTTCATCCCTACAATTCTGGACTTCATCTTTTCACTCATCTTCTAACAAAAGGAAGTGACAAAGCACTAGGTCTCTAACTCCAGCACTCTACACACAGTTAAAGCACAGCAGACATCATATATTGTGGTTAAAGTTTGTAACATAAAATGTGAATATAAAAGAGGAATTAAAGGAATGAGTAGCACAAGAATCCATTCCTTATTAAAATCTTTAAAACATCAATATGCACCAGTATTAATTTCATATAACTGTCCTCTTAATGAATTCATGCAAGATTGAAAGCAAATTCAGCATACTAACAATTAATTAAAAAATATTCAATTATTGTAATACAAATACGGTAAATAAAATGTTAATCTTGACAAGACCGACTTTCAATTTTTAAATTTATTTACAATTAAATGGATGAGAATTACATAATTCAATTTTTATTTAAACACTATTTTATCATCTATAAATTTAACAATATTAAAACAATTATCAGTTGGTCTTTCATGGGACTTTTTCCTAGTTAAGAATTTATTAAATAAATATATTTTGCACTCTAATAAAAAAGTATTTTGAAATATAGAGATCAGTATAAAATTAAGAAAAATTAATATTACTATTCAAGAATACTGATTAAAAAATCAAAAAATCAAGATACTTTCTTTGTAGCAATGTCACCTGTGTATTCTTAAAATGGCTTTGGTCAAATTTTAAAACTCTGCAAGCAAACAAGTTATTTAACATCAGTGATACACAAAATTAGATTTCATCAAGGTCATCAGTTTCAACACCAACAAGGTCACTAGATTTAAAACAGTAGAGAATAAACTGAATTACATATAGGTTTTGACTCTTTCAAGATTTTTATTATTAAGACATACAATTGAGATAACAATTGGATAGTAATTTCACATACTAAGAAAATTAAATTGTAGTAATTAGGTATTTTTGAAGTATTCTAAATTTACTTGAAATTTTAATATTCAGAAACTTTTAATATGTAACATGTCAGCTTTAATCACGTTTTAATTGACAATTTATGCTGTTTCAGATATTTTCAACTGTATACATTAGAATTCACTACAGTTATAAACAGAAAAATGTAGAAGAAAGCAAAATGTCTCAAAATTACACAAACACAATGTAAAATAATTTTGAGACCAGAGGTATATAATTTTAATTTTGGGGGGTTATTTACATGGAGCCTTAGTGATGTTTTCCTCAAAAATGGCTCCACGCTTTTTCTTTAATCTTTTGCTCGAATAGAAGAAAACACACATATAAGTATGTGTGTTTTCTAGATGAAAACACACATATAATGGTGCAGGTCAGATTTTCTCAAAAATCATTCTAAATGTATTCTTTAAATTACATTCTTAAAAAGAGGAATACTTACTTAATAAACTGCAAAGATCCTTCATAATTTTGAAAATTTCAAAAGATTAAATGTTTTTCAAACTCTTTTTACAACTTTAATATTGAAGCTAGAGATTTCTTTGTTAATGCAACAAATGCATCAATATTTGATCGTCAAATTATCTTGTGAACACATTTTAAAAATATTAAAGTGCGTAATTTTGAGTTGAAATGTGGAGGATAACAAGAACATTAAGAAAACATTATAATCCAATAAACTCAGCATACTCTGCGAGTAGTGCCGAAGCAGAAGGTGCAATTCTCTTCTACAGCACCCAGGTTTGAATCCCAGATTGAGTGGCTATCTTTCTTAGAAGCCATTTTCATTTTAACTTTTAAAAATTCAAAAAAGAATAAAGATGTATATTTTTATCTATGGTGCTACATTTGGAAAGGAGATTTTTAAAGGATGTCTGAAATGTTCTTAAGTTAGAAGTTGCAGAATTATTATATTACATAACTATTGTCAATAATACAAGAAAGTATGGGTTCTTCTAGCACTTCTAGTTTAAATTAATAGATGACAAAAATAGGGATTAAATAAAATGGAGTCAACAATTTTGAAATGTTGGACAGAAAGAATTGGCCTTAATCTTGCAAAGTTACAACAATAAAATTGAATAAAGTAAATTAAAATACCTTAAAACCCTGCTCTCGCATTTTATTCACCGCAAGTTGCAGGGGACCATGAACAGGAAAGTCAGCCTCTTCTACTTCTGTTCGGGCACAGTGTTCTTTATATGGTCCCAAGAGACAATACTGTTCTCCCAGTTCTTCAGTAGACACATAAGCTTTTGATCTAATAACTGTGTATATGCCACCAACTGAAATTCATAACAAGGCAATTAGATGTCAAAATATACTGGAAGATACCCTTTGAACACTGTAAGTTCCTGAGCAGCTTCCAAGTCTAACTAGAAAAATTAACCACTCAATTGCTGAAACTCTATAAAGAATAAACAGAAAATGAAACAAATTTACAGAAGACTATTTCATAAAATGTAACAGACAGTGATGAAAATCATGTATTTTCTTAACTGCACTTTCTGCTCTGGAGAATACTAACAAGTACAGACCAACACTACATACCAAAAGTACCAAACATGCCCACAAGGTTTATGTCTTCTCTACAGGAAAATGCTTTCAGAATATTTGTAATTTAAAAATTGTTTTAGAATTTAGATAATAGGCATTTTTCATGCGACAGATGAGCTTACCAGAAATTATATAAAACACAAACAAAGATTAAGGGAAAAATACATACAAAATGTCCATAAACTTGAATTTTTTTAAAAATATAACTTTTTCATTCATAAAAAAATATACTAATGTTGCTAAATTAGCAAAAAATCAAAAACTCCATTATTTTTATTACATCAAAGCAACTTTTGTTCATTAACCCCACAATAATTTTGGCTTCACCAAGTCATAAGTACAGTAATGTCTGTGACACAACATGTTTTTCTCAAAAACTTGGCGTTGTGCCCTCTGACAAGGTCATAAGCCCACTCACAAGCAAGTATTGCCAAAAAGCACTAAGAGGAAAAACTTGTCTTAAACGCACTCCTAAATATATCATACATACACATTAGGCACTTTGAACAATGTTGATGATCTACGAACCAACTTTGGGGAGATGGGGGTGTTTCAGACCTTTAGCCCCCTCCCCTCAAAACTGATAAAACACATTTAAAATTACAGTTTAACTAACTTTCTAAAGTAATAAAAACCATTCACTATCCCAATTGAATACATTAATTATTTTTTATAAAACTAAAAATTATCCCCATCTTTCAAAGTTAGTGAACAACTAAAAACAAGTAGTCTTCAAATAAAGCAAATCTACAGTATTACATCCCAAAATAGTAATAACAATGGGTTAAATTTGCCTCAAGACCCTTCTGGCAAATCTTACCTTTGTTAGCAACTTCCCAGGCAGCTTCAAACGTCCATCTGTTCTCTAAAGCTGCCATTTCCCCTCTATCCATAAATGCAAGGAGATCATTTTGACTTGCTCCTCGATAGAATCTTCTGCTTGCCCTATCCCTTGACATGGCTGCAAGATTAACATATTTCCTGCATTTTACAAACTTGATAGATCTTAAAGATTCACATAAAGATTATTTCAAAAGCTTAAAAATATTCTTCTGTTGTCAGGTTGCAAGTGCCAATAACAAATTAATATAAATAATTGGGATATTGGAAAAATATATTTGGGACATATTGTTTGTTTGTTTTTATTTATAACAATAATTCTATTAACTACACAAACTATTAAAGGCAAATTAAACTAAGCAACAATTCATACCAGTATTTTGAAATTACGAGTATTCCAATAAAAACTTTAACTAGTGTCATTATTGGACAACGAAAATGACACTGTTAAACCTTAGCAACACCAGTTTGTGTCAGAATGAATCCACATGTCACTTAGCAAAACATTACAATAAGGTATTTAAACGCGATATCTCAGTTAGCGCACACTGTACCTGCAAACCGCAAACTCCAACGCCTGTACCGGCAGAAAGTCTATTTCAAATCAATGCCGACCGTAATTTTTGCACCGTACCCCAGCAGTGCTCGAAGACCTGCACTGTGCGGCTTCTCCTGTCTTACTTCAGTTCCGAGTTCATGTGAAGGTCATTTAAAGGGCTGCGCTGTCACATGTGCGACAACTGTAGACAAATGAATGCCAAAGCCATAGAGGCGCAACTTTTGATTCGTCGGACGCTACGTAACAGTTTTGGTAAATGTATAACATGTGAAACGAATTAATTCAGCTGCAATGTGAGCACAAGAATGAGAATTTTAAGAATTTGAAATATGCCAATTGGTTTGGTAACTAATTTAACGCATCAGAATTTTACATTTACATTTCTACGGAGCCGTCCATAATTTACGTAACTCAAATTTGAAGTATTTTGAATACCGCCCACTCCTGTTACGTACCCATTACGAGCGCTTGAAACTACTAAATAATAAGTTAACTCTTGCAAAAACACCCTTCCCGAATTCATAAGAAATAAAAATAAATCATATCACCATAAAAATTAGTACTAATTTTATGTGGGTAATATATTAGTTATCATTAAGGTCAAAATTAGTTGGCGATGCTGACTGCACCTAACAATAAGATTGGGGACAATTTTGAGTGAAGGAAGGACACACACAAAAATTCTCACAAGCCATGCTCACGCCGTCGTGGATAAAGCATGGGTGAGAGTCTACTGTGCCAATTTAATTGGATTCAAGAATAAACTACAGATCAGTTTTGAATATTTTTTTCTTTATTCTAATAGGTTCAATCAATTTTCTATTAATGAAAAAATATTTCCATTTATTATAACAATTTATAAATAATACCTTTTTCATACAAAATACTAAACTAACACCTTCCTACACCTAAAATACAGCATTAAGGCTGCCTCAAACCTCCATCCCCCCACTTTAGTGTAATATAATTTACAGTCAACTTTTTACTATAATTCAACATCAATGCAGAGGTTTGATGATCAGGAATATATTAAGTGCTTACTCTAGTAATTTATTGATTTTCTTTTATTAATTGATTAACTGATTGTACTAAATAAGTAAAATAAATCTTGCTATTATTACCTTCAATAACATGGATTTTGTTTTTGCTAAAAATATTGTGATGTGACTTCACTGGAATTATGAAGATAAAGTTAAGTTGAACTGAACTTCTTTTTAATACTACAGTACCTAGGCCTTATACTCTTCAAGTATGAAGTGTTAATTCTTGTTGGATTAACAATGTTAAGTGAGGCTAAATTCAGAGACTTCTCAAGTGGATGATTATTTTTGAAGCCTAATACATGCTAAGTTTTTGATGATTAGCAAGTTCATGTAGTAAAGCATTTCCATGTCAGTATGCATCATGAAACAAAGGTCCCTCAAAGAAAGTAATGGAATTCTTCTCAAAATTAAAGTTACTCAAATAAAATGTTGAAGCTATTAACATTCATGAAAGAAAACTCAAAATTGTAAAACTTAATATTAATGAAACATGAATTAAATAGTATGATTTACTTCATTTTACAGCTTTCATAAATTGCAATCCCAATACATCCACTTTTACCTGAATGAATAGAAATATGTCTATTATGTTATTTAATTGTAAATATAATACAGATAAATTATTTTTAATGATATCTAACACATTCCCTTCGTTTTTTGTTTCGTTTATTTCTTAATGCAAAACAAATATTCAATTCAATCGTAAAAGTGAAACTAGATTTTTTTATATTCACAAAACTTGAGAATATAATTATGTAGTTCTAAAAATACTTGAAGTCAGCAACTAGGCCAATTATGATAAGATATCTAACAAATGTTGATTCAGATCTTTTTTTTATCTCAGATTCTCATATTATTTTTAAATTTGTAATTATTAACATTTGTATCTATGTAATGTGAATCATAATAATAAGAGTTGAGACTCACATTTCATGTTTACAATGGTTATAGAATAACCAGTAATTTATGTTTTCAATTGATACTCTACATTACTAATTAGAAGTGAAAGTAACACACTGAAATTCAATGAACATATTTTTTTTTAAAGATAATTTGTTAAAGAATTGTTTAGCAATGTTTTTCATCAACAGTGAATAAAGTTGACTGTTGAAGTCTATCAAAGGATTAACAAGAGATTGTGTAATATAATATATCTCTTATTGCATTATAATTGGTGAGCCACTGAGCCACAAGAGAAGTGGAGGGTTTGTTATTTGTAAGCAGTATTTTCAAATAAAATTGGAGGATTATTGATCTTTATAATATTAAAATGCCCCTTCCTACCTTTATTCATTATAGTGTGTAGTAAAAGTGAGTAGGGATTCTGGAACTCAAGAAGACATGTGACACAATTGTATTCCCCCCGCATACATCAAGTTGGCTTGTTATATAGAATTGAAATTGTTATCATCATCATCATCATCATGAACTTTTGACGTTTAGATCACTTGGCCTCTTCCTTCTTTCCAGTATTTCCTCGATCACTACTTACTTTTTACAGTATTTTTAGAAGAAATTTAATTATAATTAAGCAAACAATAATTTTTATTAAGCTGAGCGTATAACATACATTAATAAATTGGTGATCTTTAGTTCAGTATTATAAAATGCATTGCTTATTGTTTAGCGTTACTGTGAATATCTCGTATTATTAAATCACCATTCAATTATGGACTGGAAAAATTCAAAATGATCATGAGTGATCAATGCAAATCAAATTACAGAAAGTTGTTTTTCATTTTAATTGCAGTGAAACACAAAACATGAGCAAGTAGCTGTGGTTTTAAGACATGTTGATGATGATTTATATATAAATACATGAATCATTTGTAGTGTTTTACCGTACTGAAAAAAATTGATGGTGAATAACTGGCTGCGTTATTGGAGCCAATTTTAATTTCTGTAAACCTGAACATTCAGAATCTATGTGCACAATATTACAATGGTGCTGTAAATATGCTGCAAATATGCTCCAAGGTTGCAACAAGAATACTGCAAAAACTCCATTAGCTATATATGTACACTGACATGCCCATGTATTAAATTCATGTATTGTAAGTTTTGCACAGGAGTTACATCCATAAGGAACACATTTCATATTATTCAGTCATTATAGTTTCATCAAAAAATCAGCTAAAAACATAGCATTTTCGACAAAATTTGAACAGCTTCTCAATTATCCAGGGGTGGAACATTAACTTTGCAGTCTCTCAGTAATACTAGATGGTATTGCTGGGTAGAAGTGGTCCGTTTACTACTTGATAATTTTCAAACAACCATTTCGGCACCAATTAAATCGCAGAAATTGATCCTCACAATGGAGGCAAAGCTAATTCACTGTTAAAATGCATTAAGGATTTCAACTTTATTTTTAATCCATTATTACTTAGAAGAGTATTGCCACAATTTGATATTTAATCAAAGATACTATAATAAAAAAGTATTAACTATGAGATTGGAACAGACATAGTAAATAGTACTTTACAAGTTGCACAATCCTTCAGAACTGACAACTTTCTTCAAAAATTCTGGAATCATTGCACGGAACTGTTGCAGAAATATGATTTTACACTAGCCAAGTTACCAAGAAAGAGGAGAATTCCTAGAAAATTCGGTGGAAGACGCAAAGTTGTGGCAGAAACAGAAACTGTCAAACTACTACAAATGGACAATACTCTAACTTAAAATTGATACCATTACAGAAGAAATCAAGAGTAGATTTTCAGGTAATGTTTGTTTATAAGGCATTATCAATCTATTGATATTTGCTAGTATTTTACTGTCATTTACTATGGATAATTTTGTAAATTCATAGGTTTCCCATTAGATTTATTGGCCTATAATCTATAAGATATCTGATAGCATGTATTTTCATTGTAACTGTTATTTTAAAATAAAAATTGTTTTTAGATGACAATATGGACATTTTGAAACACTTAGATGAAGTGTTGAATGCAAATGAAATAAACAACCAAAGTGTAAATGATATTTGCAAGCATTTAAATTTAAATAAAGAGGTAATTATCCCAGATCTAAAGTGTTTCTTCAAAATGGAACAGATCTGCTGTAAACACATTTCAGAAAGAGTAAAAATTATTGTATAAAAAATAAAAGGATGCCTTTCCATTGGTTTTTGAGCTATTTACATTATATTACACCATACCTATAAATTCAGTGGGTTGTGAATGCTTTTTCATCTATGCACAGACAAAAAACTTATTGCAGAAACATGAATGGGCAAGAAAGGATGTATTCTTTAGGATTGTTAGCAATTGAACTTTATATTAGAATTTACAGATATAAATAAAACTATAAATACTTTCAATCTTGCCAAAAACCAAAGATTGCATTTCAATTAAAAGAATTTAGTAATGTACATTTTAAAATGTGTATCCTGCATTTATGTATAAACATTTGTGATCGAAATAAATAATAAAACTTTTGATATTTCGATGCATAATTTAATGAGAAAAACGTACTGTTGAATAGTATGGACCTTTCAAATAACAATGCGGATCATTACCTCTGTGTTCAATTAATGTAAGTAATATATTCATTAATAATCAATTACATAATTAACAAAATTGAAAACAATGTATATAATTGAAGCACAATTAATTAACTTAAAGCATCAATTTAAATGAATATTATCATATTTCTAATAGTAATAGTAGTATAGCGAGTTATATTACACCCTAGGGTGTCTCTCACATCCCAGCCTCCACATCTCTCTATCGGTGTAGTCTTCATTACTTAATCCTCTCTTCACCATTGTCTCATTCACTCCCTCTCCTCATGTAAGTCTAGCTCTTCCTCTTCATCAATGGATAGCTGGTTGCCATTTCAACAATATTTTCAGCCAACATTCTCCATTCGTTCTTTGCATGTGCCCTTACAATTTTAGACTTTTCACTTCTATGGTGTCAATTATATTAAAACTCAGTTCTGCTTTACGTTTAATGTCCTCGTTCTTAACTTTATTCATTAAAGTCAGTCAGTAACACTAACCACCTGATCATCTGCGAAGCATAGGGAGAATAACATTAAGTTGCCAATTTTAATACCCATATTACTACATTTCTTCCTTCATCTTCTCAGAGCTTCATTCAAAT